GCAAATGTGGCGTTATTTCATTAAGTTGCTTCAATGGATTATACTTTGTAATACATTTTATATACACCCCCGCAGTGTATCTGGTTTCATGCCAAAATTTGTTACAAAATCTGCATATTGTACGGGTTTTCACTGCGGTGCAAACACAACGAGTGTATATATGTATAATTTACTGCGTCTAGTTTACTTATACGTACAATTCTACTTTCTCTGTCTAAACTAAAATACAAACAGTGCACATTGCTTGGAGACGTAAGAAATTGGCTTTCATCAGCTGTATTTTGACCATATTCACTCATAGTCATAATAAGTCATAGCTATATTGTCGCAATATTTTATATTTCTGGTGAATCCATTGGCTGTGGCTCATTTATATTTATCGCGCTTTCCAGTTTCGTGACTATGACCATATCGGTTGACTGCATCGAAGCTGCTTCTAAATACAACCTATTCAAATAACGAATTTGGAATAAAAATTGCACTAGGCCATATTCAAGTGCATGATAAACGAAATTAGAGTATAAATTATACATATACCATTCTCTTGGCTCTCGCAGACAAAGGTTTGTCGTCGACAGTATTTGTATATTTTGGAATTGCAACGAAACCAATTTCGTCGGTAGCTAACCATAGTGGTTTTACCAGCAAGCTCTATCTTCGCAAAGTATGCTGAACATTGGATCTCATATTGCTGGTTTAAGGTGCACGAAGTCAATCCGTGTCCTTTTCGCTTCGTGCATCTCGCCTCCAGTAAAAGGTATAAAATGAAGTGAAATGCCGTACTCTGTATCTGTGACATTAGAACAACCGCCTACTACACATATATTCGGCAATTTTTCAGTTTCGTGACTTTTATTTGCGCTATTGCCTCCTGTATGATAGTACATGCAATAGTATTTCTATATTAGTGAGCTACATAAGTTCCTACTATTACGTCACACGCATTGTTTCGTGCCAGTCCCTTTTGCGCGGTTTTCAGATTTTTCACAAGGCCAAATTCAATGTTTAAACGGCAATAACTTTTACACTAAAAAAGCAATTTCAATCCCGTTTTCGAATTTCCGTATATTTTATATCATAGATTTCGAAAATATAAACTCTCATTTTGTGACAGGAACACTTTAAAAGGGGGGTGAATATGCGCTTAAATATTTACGTTATAAAACAATTGAATCAAAATGTTGCTTGTCGTGAAAAATGTCATATACGTAAAGCAGCTGGACCCAGAGTTAAACAGTAAAACGGCCAGAGCTGAAAAACCTGAGTTTGCACAGCACTAGAAAAAGAGGGAGCCTCCCCCGGTTGCTACAGCCCTGCTTACGGATTTCAAGCTTGCTTAGTCAAAAAACGATCAATCTGATGTTTTTCACAAAACAGAACAATTGTGAGTTATGTATTTTTACTCACTCCCTGGACCATATTTTATTAAAGCAGATCAAATAGCATTTGAAGCAAGAGGTAAGAAATCAATTTGAAAGAATGACAGAAATGTTGAATCAGCTGTTGCAAGGAAGCAATGTAAACAACAATGGTACTCAAGCTTTAGATCCACCAGTTCCAGTCAACAACCAAGACATTATTCTTGGCGGTTTTTATGTCCCAGGAGATGAAAGTGTATCAAATACAGTAGAAAAATTCAACATAGTAGAAGGGAAGTCGACTCAGCTACCAAAACTGAATCACCCTCAAGTAAGTTCACCATCATGTATTTACAATGAAGTCATCATCACTGGCAGTTACTTTTACTATAACTGGTACTTGTTTAAACAAAGATTTTAATCAATTTTTAATCATGTGGAAGTTTTAGATATATCCTATATAATCTTTGTGAAAATATTGAACATGTACATAGTTTCGTTGAACAAAACCTTAGCATACTAAATATACTTTTTGTTGAACAAAAACATTTTAATCTGAACATTGACATTAGCAATAAGTAGAACAGCAAATTAATTTTAAATAAGTATATATAAATATATAGCCATTGTAAACAATCATTATTCGTATTGACAATGCTTTAAGCTTAGATAAATTATTTGATATAAGGAATTTCGACTTGAGCCAAAGTTTGGTACCGTTGCTCACAGCGGAAGGGTAAGTCTTGTTTGTTCTGAAAGAACAAAAGGCATTATGTGGTTATACTTGATGTATATCGCATCTGATCGTATATCCACTTGTAAATGTGTGTTATAGAAAGGGTCCCTTGTACAACATAAATGTCTGCAACATCACTGTTTGATAATGTTGCCGTAAATTGCCCAACAGTCGCAAAGGGGTTCTAGAACCATATGCATAAAGTCGAGTGTTACACTTTGACAACTTTACCCGTAATTTAATATGAGAAAATGTTTTTTCATCAATGATGTTGACATCAGCCACCTGAATCAATTTGGAAATGTACCGGATGATTGTCAACTTTCACCGTCACATGACTGCGACATTTCTTGCTACTTTTCACTGGTGAAACCTGATAACTGTCATCAGTATCACTTCCGTCGTTCTTACTTTCTGCTTGTTTTTGCACACACATGCAAAATGGTTCTTTGTACCACACTTTCTAAAATCTAACTTGTAAGCTGGGCAGAAACGCCTTCCGTTTGGATGTGGTCATGACCTGCCACAGCTGGAACATACCTTGTCAGCATCCTTTGGCTTTGACTGACCATTGTTCTCTGATGTAACAACAAGATCTTGTCGACCAACCTTTAGAACTCCTGGTTCACCTTCCATAGCTGTCACCTTGACTTGGGTCTTCTCCTAACGCCTTCTTTCTCAGCAGATCTGAGGTGCATTTCTGTACAACTTGATCAATAATTTCTTGTGCAGTGTTGTTTAACTGGCATCTACTAGCAGCCTCGCAATGTCTAGTAACAAACTTATCAATAGACTCATTTTCTGCTTGAGCTAGTTGTCTAAAGTTATGTCTCAAAAGTAATGTTGATCTTTGGCTCAAAATATGTATCTAACTTAGCTTTAACATGTTGATATTCTTTATCTTCTTGTGTCTCAAGTGTATAGTAAATATCACACAATTGTGACCCACCGTAATGTAATGGAAGAGCCTTTTGTCACTTTGTATCTTTGATAGCTGAAACTATAAACAAAACAAAACTCTACGTAAATTGACGCTTTTTGCCGATATTTATAAACTTCTCAACTTCTCAACTCGAGCTTCAACTTATTACTCGCACTTTGAAATGAAACAAATTTAATTCGCACAGGATGCTAATGAAAATAATTTGCTTTCCTTTTTATCATGAACTTCTACAAAAGTTAATTTAACTAAGAAACTTTCTCAAACAATGCATAGGAAAGACTTGAACATCAAGAACAAAGTCTATATTATTAAATACAAAGACATACATAAACAATTGAAACAAACCATGAACAAAGTTGCCCTAAACTTTAGGATTTATCATACAATATCAATTCTTATCAATGTTTATGTTTAAGAAGTGAAAAAAAGTTGTACAATTTGTTATATGAAACGATATTCCAAGCTTTCTTACATGTATTTTTTATATTTTTTGTCTTCACTCCTGGCAAACAGCCACATTTTGAGATCAGTGATGACCACCCACTCAATTATTTATTTTCTGGATCATTTTACAGCATATGGACATAGAATAAGAAATGAATAGAAGGGCAACTCGCGTCGGAACCTTTGAACTTTTTGAAGCTGCGCATGTCGCCTCGCGCATACCGGAAATTGCCCGCTCTAATTACTCGCAGCCAGTAAAGCCAGTCAATTTATTAGAGATTTGTATTGCAAAATGGCCATTTGGCTGAATAAATCGACTATTTTTTGCAAACGAACGATTCAAATTACAAACCACGGCTGCTGGTTGTAATTTGAAGGTTAGTGAATACATTTCTGTTGGTTATGAGCTGTTAAAGAATTGCTAAATGCGAAATTTAAACGTATTAATACATGTTGTTTACTTGCAAAATATAAAGTACGGTATATTAACATATGATAGTTTGGTTTATTTATTGGAAAAATTCGATGTATTCGAAGTAATATTGTAGTAATAGGAATGAATGTTAATTTATAATCATGATATTTCAATTACATAAATAAATAACATCATTTTCTGATATTGTTTGTATTTGTAGTTCAACATGTCAGACACAGACAGACAACTTCCCGCACAAAATAAATTTGATTAATTGCTCGTGACTTTGAAATTTATACCCTTTTAAATAAAATTTGATGCAATCCAAAACCTGTACTGATAAGATTTGACATAAACCTCGAAAATCGAAATAAATAACACAGTATACGCGATCGACTGTCGGCATTTCATTCAGATTCGGACTGTAGCTCACACAACAATATCAAATTTCTCCCTAAATATTAGTTTCTTTCTATGCTAACCACAATAATAGGCAGGCAGTCGTAGTAGTTTGATATTCCAATCCTTTGTTTCCGAAACATAGTCGATTTTGTGATCAAAATGTACATTTCGTAATACAAATCCCTATTGCACTGACTGGCTTTTACTGGCTGCAAGACTCTGCGAGCTTGAGAATCCTGTGCGTGCGCACTGAAAATTGGTTACGCTTTGTACACGCGAGTTGCCCTTCTATTCATTTCTTATTCTATGATATGGACATGCTTGAAAAATGCTTTTTGACAGAAAACTAAAAATTTTAGTTGCTGAAAAACAATTTGTTCATTACAACATTTGTAAAAACAATTTGGACCGAATTAACCTCAGGAATAGTCCTTACTTAAAATTGGCATTTAAGGTATATTTTTATTAAAAATTGTTGTATTTATATATTTATACGTATATTTTCGAAGAATAGCTGAATATATGTGGAGCATTTGAATCAAAACATGTAGCACTGGCCAGTGTTTTTTTCTGATGTTTATATTTACTTATTTCACATTTTGGTCAGAGAAAAGTACATTTTGGGCTTGGCACTAAGTCCATTGAAGTAAATTCACTGTGTAATTGTACTATTTTCAGTATTCATAGGGACGATTTTTCAACTTTTTGTGTAGTGAGTTTGAAAATTGTCTTCACTCCTCGGTTTGTTGCTAACAAATAACTCTTTTGGACCACGGTCAAGATATTATTAAAATTATGTTTTATTTGTTCTTCCAGATTAACAAAAAGGTAAAATACTTTCATTTGTCTAACGTTTCGGTTTCCTAAACGGAAACCATTATCAAAGACTATGAATCTATTAAAAGTTTATATTATTAAAAGTTGCCCACTCCTGCAGGAAATAAAAAATATCACTAGACATGCGCTCCTCATCATCCACTAAATTCTGAGTTGAAATTTCTGGGTCATATATACTATATTTTGACCCTTGAATATCTGAGAGCATCATCTTGTGTTGTGTGGCAGAATAGCAGTGGTGAATGAAAGGCACTGGGCTTTGGCATAAATTTCTTTAATTTTACTGCTGCTGCTTTCTGGTGGGGCAACACAATTCCTAATTATTATTCACATATTTTGCCAACCTTTCCTGGGACAAAATCTTCCACAGTAACAGTTTTGTCATTAAGACAGGAATAATGCACTTTGTTATACTTAAAACATTCACCAAACTGAAGTGGCACTCTCCAAGAAAAGTCTTTGGTACTATGCCTAGCAACTGCATGCATTTACTTGAGAGCATGGTTCTCTACAGCAGTATTCAAGGTGTGCTGAATTATCTGCACAGCTTTTTCATTGTACATTTTAACAACATACATTTTCTGCTTACCATTAACTTCTGTAATCCCTTTGAATGCATCCCTGAAAGCACATGATGAAAACTATTCTCTTTCAAGTAAAAGTTCCAATTTTACAATTGCTTCACTTTTCCATGCCCGATTCTTAACATCAAATGACTCCAGGTCAAGTATCACCCTATCCTTTTGTTGTGCCTTCACAAGCTTTCCAGCCATTAGGAGCTGCTCGATTGACAGATTCTGGAAACTGTGTTTCTAGTTAACAACCTGTTAACTAAAGACTCGAAGTCTTGAAAACATTAGCATCAACTGTTAACAGATCATTATACATAGGTTAAGGTGAATTTAGTATTGATTAAGTATAATTATTAATACTGCAAAGTGCAAACAGTCTCAACTAGCTGTCTAAAGACTCTAGGTATTGACAACCTGTCAACTAAAGACTCAAAGTCTTGAAAACATTAGCATCAACTATTCACAGATTATTATATACATAGGTTAAGGTGAATTTAGTATTGATTAAGTATATTAATTATTAATACTGCAAACAGTCTCAACTAGCTGCCTAAAGATTCTAGGTCTTAACAACCTGTTAACTAAAGACTCAAAGTCTTGAAAACATTAGCATCAACTGTTCACAGATTATTATATACATAGGTTAAGGTGAATTTAGTATTGATTATAAGTATATTAATTACTGCAAACAGTCTCAACTGGCTGCCTAAAGACTCTAGGTCTTGACAACCTGTTAACTAAAGACTTGAAGTCTTGAAAATATTAGTGCTCATCAACTTTTCACAGATCATTATACATAGGTTAAGGTAAATTTAAAAAATAAGCAGAAACTCGACGTTTCGAGCGAATTAGGCCCTTCGTCAAGAGTTAGTAGCAGGGATTGGGGAAAATGCATGGGCTTTTATACTAAAAGTATACTAAGAGTACTTTCATACTCTTAGTATAAAAGCATGTGCATTTTCCCCGATCCCTGCTACTAACTCTTGACGAAGAGCCTTCGCTCGAAACGTCGATTTCTGCTTATTTTTTAAGGTAGTAATATAACCACTCAGCACAGCATTTTCACATTAGTACTACCAACACTGGTACAGACAGTTTAAGGTAAATTTAGTATTCAATAGATTAATTTTACATTTGTATTTTATATTTTAGAATGATGCTATACAAGGTTGTTCTCACAGTGACATTTTCTCCAGTGTTTCGATAACTTCAGGAATAGATGGTCATGCAGAAGATTTGCTATGTTTGCATTGTTTTCCCAAGGACTTTATTTTATCACTTTTCAATGTGTTCCCAATGTTATATATAATTACTCCAAGAGAAAACACATACTTACTGAGAATACTATTTAATGAAGTTTTCCCTATGTACAATTTTTTTATATAAAGATAGATTTCTAATAATAATGTTGGGCTAGGAACCTACCAGAAACCTTTACAGGCTTTTTAATTTAGGCCCCTAGTTTTGTTCATGTTATGAAAATTTATTAATATATTTAATTAGAAGAAAATGTTGTTTAATTTGTTTTTTAAAGGTACTTACAAATTTATACTTTTGAAATTTGGATCTACTTTATTCCATATTTCAACTCCTTTGGTTGATAAAGTTTGTTTTACGTAATTTGTTCTATTATAACACTTGTGTAGTTTCTGTGCATTTCTCGTATTATGCTGATGAATCTGACTATTTGTTACAAAATAATTTGAAAATAATTCTGGTAAATTATTTAGGTTGTGATATCGAAACATAAACAGTGAAGTTAAAAAATCATTTATTTTAAATATATTTAAAATGCCTAATTCTTTGAAAATAGGCTTAGTGTGTTCGAAATACGAATTAAATGTCATTAGGCGAACAATTTTTTTCTGTATATTCATAATTTTTTAATTCTGCTGTTGTAGGTATTACTCCACACCAAATTGCTGTAAATAAGATATGGATAGACCAATGCATAATAAATTAGTTTTAACGCATTTCTGCTCATACAATGTCTAATTTTTCCTATTATTGCTATTATTATTATTACATCACTGCAAGTACTGACTGGTTCATAAAATTTTGTATACTTTCTGGCAGATGGCCTAGAAATTGGACATGCTTTGCCAAAATCTATTACAAAGCCTCTTCATTGAAACACAAGGACATTGATTGTTTTTAAATCACAATGTAGGAATCCTTTGCCATGAATGTGATGAACAGCTTCCAAAATATCAGTTAAAACAGAGATCCACTTTTTTGTGCTTGGCTCTGATTGGTTATCCAAACATTATTGGGAGTAATTTGTGGACTGTAGTTGATTCCATGTTATTACCAATGAATTCCATTACCAGAGAGTATGGCTTACATTCAATTTGAACTCCTACCAAGTGTGGAATACATTGATGTGTCATGACATTCATGCATTTTGCTTCAGCAATAACTGCGTTTAAATCAGATCTCACCAACTGCTTTACTAGAACGGTTATTCCAAACTGTTTGTGCCGCATTAAAACACATTCTCCATATGTGCCTGAACCAATATTTTCTGCAGGATCTGCTACTGGTATTAAATCACTTGGGCTTATCTGATTTACTGAGACTGCTAATATTTGTGAAGATCCTCTGGTGTTTATGGCAACTTAAATCATGTTATATAGCATTTATTTTAATATAGTTGAAGCCATATAATAGACATTATAAACAAAATGTACATTTACACCACACAATGTAGATTTTAATTACTGTGGACATTGAATAGTAATACATGTAATATTAATATATTGACTATGGACTATAAAATTACATTTGTCTTGTTGGACCATTCCATTTGACATATGCACCCCCTGCCCGCATTGAGGGTTCTGGATACCCAGAGGGGAGGGGGGCTCTCCTTAAAGTTTCCTAGGGGTAGCTCATGGAGGACACCCGCAACCAATGGCAAAACTTTGCTGTTAGTGTATGCAAGGAGAGAAAACGATATCTAAGAGGGTTACAATTTTTTTATATCCCAAGGAGGATTATATTAAATGGAATGGTGCATTCACTCTCATAGTTCTTCCAACAAAATAGATTGTATAGGGAAAATATTACCTGTCTTTTGTGGGACGGGATTGGAATTTTACCCCTTGGTTCTTTCGTAAAATAATAAAGGTGATTTGGAGCTAATGGGTTAAAAAATACTCTGTAAAAAGCATTTCATGCTTTAACCCATTGAGCTGCAATGTGCCCCAGTGCGCCCTACTTATTTTTTTACTTTCCTAACGCCAGACGATGTTACTCATCAATAAGCTCTGCAGCTTAATGGATTAAACTTACTTTCTGCTGAACTGACGCTTTGTTCCAGATTAGAAGCATTGTCAGCATTCTCAGCAGGGAGAGGGGGCAACTCTGACTCAACTGCGTTGATACTTTCCGTGAAGGAAATTACATGACCATCATCTTCGTCAACTACTCCTTCCACTACTACATCTTGTCCAACTGATCCACTGTCAACTAAATTTCTTTCCTCTGAAAGGTGCCATCTGAATCTCCTTTGTCAGCTTCACCATCAGCACTATCCTGCTCATCATCCAAACTCTCAAGCACTAGGTTGCCGTTTTTATCTTCAATGCGAAGCTTCACAGCGGGTATTAGCCGCTTCTCTTTCAAGCACATATTCCAACATTGCTTTAAGTATGTTTCCTCACTTTTGAAGTTTGACAAACGGAAGTGGTGAACTAATGGTCCTTCTGTGTGACTTTTGGAGCTTCCTTTACCATCATTAAATGTGATGTCACCATTTTCACATTGCTCCCACCAAACATCTTTACCTACAACACAGTACACACAAGGTTCATATAACGACCTTGAATATGACCACCTTCTAGAAAATAGGATACAGTATATACACAATGTTTTCCAAATAATGCATCCTCCCTCTTGTAATCCCCCATATAGAAACATGTATTTATGTTTCTTATATATATTGATTTTACTGTAAGTTGTTTTATATTTCCGAGCAAAGAAATGTTACCATAGGTGTATTATAAGGGCAATATATGTACATAAAGTCATTTTAATTTACCTGCCAAAAGAAAATCACTGATTCTTTCTGAGTGTGCCTGCCAAACTGATGAACTAGTTACCATCATTTCTTGCAAAATCGTTGTGTTGCCAAAACAGGGTAGTGTTGATGCAAGTTTGGTCAGGTGTGCTTCTTGCTTGTCAGTTTCAGGGGTTTGATAAGCTTTCATCTTTTTCTCTGCTTCTAGTCGAATGAATACGTTTCCAGTGATATGACTAGCGTGATAGGAGGAAGTGGTTCTTGTTATGTTGTTGATGGTGTTAAACACTTGCTCCTGCTCCTCAACGTTTGACGATCTTCCGCTTATTATCCGGTTCTGAATGGGTGCATGCGATGTAATGTTGTGGTAGTTAGCCACGTAAAATTTACGAGTTGTTAAATGTTTCAATGAGAAACCAATAACTCTTCTACATAACATTGCGTGGTACCAAGTGAGATTGTGAAATCGTAGTACGCTATTTGTTGGATTTCTACCAGAGTGTCCAACAGCAGTTGAGCTTCTGAATTAACTTTTCCCCTCACTTGATTGGCAGTCAGAACGAGAGCACATCGATAATTGAAAGTTTTCTTCGTTTCTTTCTCCCCAATGCAAATTTCTAAAACAGCTTTCAATTTAGCAGCTTCAGTACGTGGCAGATGTTCAGGAAGCTCAATGAAAATGTTTTCAATGTGCTTCCCAATATCATGCAAAGGCTCAAATCCAAGAACCTCGTACTGACCGCAGTTAATGGAATGAAGATCTCTGTGGGGTTATTAAAAGAAGGGCAGGGGAACTGTCTGCATTTCTTCCTTCAATAGCTCTTCCATCTCCTTTTTGTCACCATCATATATGCCTCTAGCAGACAACTCTCTTAATAGATTTTCCTTACTAAGATTTTGCAACGGAATTTTGTCTTCCAAGTGGACCTTTCAGGATCATATTTTGTCGATCCGCTAGAGCCATATGTGGGCAATGAAAAGAATAGTCCAACTCGTAGACTCGGCCTGCCTTTGAGCCACACACTGAACAATAATAATGTCCTCCCTTCTGCTGACCGCATTCGTACTGTCGAGATGGACTATCACCGTGAAAAATCACATCATTGATTGGTAAGCCAGAATTGGTGTGCAGCTTGTTTGAAATTTCATCTAGGCATTCCCTTCTAGTTTCGATATATGACAACTGCTCATGATCAGATGAAGATCTAGCCAAAATATAGATTTCTGGTGCCTCAACAAGAGCTTGTACACTTATTTTGTCTCCAGTTATTTCTTCGTATTCCATGTCCGAATAGAATGCTGCTTCATCATACAAACATGATACCATAAATACCAGATAGCTATGCTTGCCTACGGTAGATAAATCATGCCAGAGCAACAAAAATGGCATGTCTGTTCCATAATTCTCAGCCTTTCCTTCATTGTGTCCAGATTTTCCTCTCCTTTATCCTCGCCAAGCGCTTGCAGTTGTTTTAAGACATTGTGCTTTGCCATGTTCTTGAATTCTTCATCAGAGGTTAGTTTCTTCGCCATATTTCTTTCAACGGATGCTTGCGACGACCTTCAACAAAGAATTCCGACTTCTTTATCATGCCATCTTGTTCCAAAACCAGCTTTTCATACTGCAAAAAATTGCCCACAGGACTCCTCTTGGAATCTTCAACAGATCATTGTTGGTCATGCCTGGCTTTAGCGTCGCTGTTGCTCTCGAAACTCATTTCTGTTCTTTTCAATGTTGTCTAGTTGTCTTTCTCCATAGCATCTATTTAAAAACGATTTATAATTAATTTCATCAACGTGCTTGTATTTGCTGTATGTAATTTCAATATAACAGAAGTGAAAATTACTTGGATACCTACACCCTTTATTTTCAGAAATATTAATACATTTTAATATTAAGGTATGGTTTTACTTTAGTCAGGTTCTATGTACCTTATTATTGATGTTTCTTCCCATGAGGACTCGATAACTTGTTTGGCCTTTGTGTAGTGACACCTCTCTTTTTTCAGCCTCTGACACTTTTTTACTTAAAGGACATTGGCAACCAAAATTTTTATTGCTTATATCTATTAGGTATGCTTACGGAATACTTAATTTTATATTTTGGCCGGTTTGTCGCATTTAGTTGTTGAGAAAATGTAATAAAAAGTTCAACAGTAGTCCGCCATTTTGAAAATAAACACTTGTGCCTGCATACATTATCTGACGTCATTAGATGGGTAAACACAATTTCATGACTATAAAACAATACCGAGTATTACCACACGTAGTGCACTTTGAGCCTAAACGAAGGGCAGAAACGTTTTACCAAGTATGTTCCTTATTTGTAACACTATTTCTGATAGTATATCAGTCCTAGTCCGTGTTAAATAAACGCAGTATGTAATGCAATAAATAATGCAATATTTTATGATCAATTACCTGTATTGTAAATTGCGCCATTCCTTGCTTTCCCAGTCGCTCGATATGTTTTTATCTGATAGTGTAGGTTCTCTTGTTTGATTGCGAAAAGTATTGGCCAGTATAACGCTCAAAACGACATATTTTTGGCTAACACGACACGCACGCAATAGAATTCTCACTTGTAGTTTTGGTGCTACCCATCTAATGACGTCACAAAATTCGTTGACCTTCGAAGGTCATTTTTTCCAAGATGGCTGCGACACACAAAGTTTGCATGCATTTTACTCCTAGAGTAAAATGTTCGAGAAGGAAATGATAATATTTTCATAGTTAGGTTGTCAAGTAGGATTGAAATAGCCAATAAAAATTTTCGTTGCCAATGTCCTTTAAGTTCAATTCAGGAAGTTTGGTCAGTGTGTTTGCAAAAGTCGTGCTGCCATGCTTGTTCTGAAATGACACATTTGCGTTGTGGTAAAGACTCCTTGCTGTTTCTGTTTCCTGATTTGCTTTAGTTGACAAAGACTTCAACGCTTCGGAAAACCTTGGCGACATTATTGAAAACAAAGCTTGCTTATCGCTAAAAATGTTTAGACACGCCTTGCACTTTTGAAAGCTGTGTCCAGACTGGTTTGACTTTGATTGCTTTTCCCATTTGACAGACTTAAACGTGTCAATATATTCATCGCACTCTTTAATAGCAAGATGTAGCGTTTGTGAATTCACTTACATCTCACTAATAAATACACAAAATATTAATAGTTGTGCAACGATCCAGTAATAAAGCACTCAAATTTTAAATAACTATATATATCAACAAATGTTTGAAATAAGAAAATATTCGGTTTTATTGATCTCATTTAGATTTATGGTGCATTCCTTACATAATATTTTCCCGGTTTGATAAATAGGTACAATTATGCAATAGAGGATTTACTTAACACAATATGCCCCTAATTCGTTTATATATTTATAGTTGCATGTCTTCTACGTAATAAATTCATAAACATTTTCACAGTCTAATCACAATTTCGCATCCTCTTTCCAATATAAATATTATCTGTCTTAATTCGTCACTAGTAAATCTAATATTGTTCATTCTGATAGCCAAATTATTGCTTTTGAAGCAGTAAAGATTTGAGATTCCTGTTGTTGCATGATCATCTTACAACATTGGAATGTTAATTTTGTATATTAATGTGTGTATCCGCTAAACTTCCAGCGTGAGCTCATAATGATGGCGACAATACTAAAATGATCGCGTGGAAAAAATATGTTTGCTTCGCTGACCGCGGTTTTTAGTCAATTTAGTACATTAACAACGCTTTTGTTTAGTGGAAACCTCGCAGTTTACGAAACGAATCAGCGCCTGCTCCAAGCTGGCTTCATTTCAAATTAATGTGCACTTATTGACACCAGAGCATAGTGTCAGTTGCATATTATCGAAAATATATAAAATTCTGAATGGTGTAGGAACAGGGCTCATTGGATCCATAATCTGTGAGTACTAAAGAACATTAATGTGTAAATGTTAGTTTATCTGAGTGAATATCCGCTTGTGGCAGCAGTCTTGTTTTGGCCATCTGGATGGAGACCATTTAAATGGTCATGTGACTGTTGCCATGGCAACAGAGGCATAGAAAAAAAGTAAAATCCTATTGTCCTCATATACCAACTTTGACCACATTCATACAGACTAAACGGATTTTTTAATATAATTTAATGTATTTTTGGCCATATTTGAATGGGAGCCATGCATTAATCTAGCTGAGTTGTTGAAACTAAATTTAATAATGTTCGATTTTCCAATGGTTACTGTTTTGCAACATATGAAGGTAGTGAAGACAGTCCAAATGAGTGTATAGAGAAATTAATTTCTATCAGTTCAACATCTTTTATTTGAGCCGAGAAGCATGTCAAGGACAAGAATGGATTTATGTATGCAATAATTCGCTTCTTCATACCATTATTAAGCAATAAAAAACATGATTGAATATTAAAGTCAGGGATGCACCTAGCAGGGGTGAGGGGGAAAAGTATATTCATTAGACATCAGTTTTGAGCACATCTTATGTAACTCACAAAATCTTCTACTCTTAATAACAATAATAACAATATTAACAACAATTTTATTTTTGCCACATAAAACAAAAAATTCACAAATTATATAATAAATACAAAAGAATGGCAAGGAAGCCCAAATATATATATATATATATATATATATATAAAAAATACAAAAAATGCAGATCAAAAAAAGAAAACAACAGAAATATACAGATTTATACACAAATGTCACAATGCTATACTCTAAATTAAAAGTAATTGTCATTTCTTAACATTTACGAATACTTTGACATTAAATATTTTTAAGTTTGATTTGAAATGATCGAAGAGAATAAGCATTCCTTATATCTGAACTTAACATATTGAACAATTTTGGACCCTGAAAGCTCACAGAAAACTGTCGGATATTAGTTTACAAAATGGAACATAACTATTGTTAGAACTGAGAGTGTTATAATGAGGCACCTGATTAACTTCAATAAAGTAATCATTAAAACTACTGGGAAGTAAATCATTTTGGTAAGAGTATATAAACTTGCCTAAATTTAGCAAGTATATGTCATTAAATTTTAAAATACATAATTCATTAAATATTGGTTCAGTATGTGCATCATATGCATCCTTATTAGTACAACGCACCACACGTTTTTGTAACAAAATTATGCGCTTAAGGTTGGAAGGGTATATAGATCCCCACACAGTGACACAATATTGCAGGTAAGGATAGACTAATGAATAATACAATAATCGCAGTGAAGATTTAGGAAGACAAAAACTAGATTTTCATATAATACCTATTGATTTAGAAATTTTTCTAGCGATATGCGAAATATGGGATTTCCAAGATAAATGCTCATCAAGTATTACACCAAGGAAATGAAGGAATACAACTCTGCTCACTTGATTCATACTAGACTTATTAATCTCCAAGTTTAAATCAAGCAGTTGTCTCCTCTGTCTAGGTTTAAATATAATATAATTTGATTTATTTATATTTACAGTCAATTTATTTGTTTGTAATGCATGAGTCAATATTGACTCCCCCCCCCCCCACCCCACCCCGGGGAAAGGTAGGGGTTACCATGGGAATTAGCAGGGGATTATATTAATTTTTTGGCCCATGACCCTGGAGCATTTGAAGCGTTTTGCATGTCATTTGCCCCCGGGGGTAGGGGAATTTGAACAGATTTTTTTTTGTCTGCAATGCATATGGTCACCGGTTATACACAACAAAACCAAATCGAGGCAACACCTGGCAACACATGGAAAAGACGAAACTTTATTGAAGAAACTTTATTTATATAATAAAATATGGTGAATTGTTTTATTAAATTTCCTGATTTATTAATGATTTTTTTCAATACATTCATGTTTATTTAACAGTGCAGAAAAAGTTTAATATATTATATAAATATCCATATATTAATTTAAAGAAATTTCAATATTTGCATTTATGATGTTATTATGAATATATGCATGATGTGAAAGTAAATTTTAAACAAACTATCTAAAATATTTTTATGAAAAAGCCAAAAAGGAATTCACAGTGTACGTAGTTGCACCTTCAACTTTATATTATTTAACATTCTATGTGTATAAATTTTGATATTAAAGTGTACAATTCAATTGTGTTTTATATATTTAATATATTAAATATGAAAGAACATGTGTGGATAGGGATGGATCCAGTATAATACTATAATCTGATATTGAATTTGCATCCCTCTTGAACCTCCCCTCCCCCTCAGCTAAATAAAATTAATAAACTCTTTATATCAGTACATTGTATTTTATAATAGTAGATTTTCAACAGCTCTTTTTATTAATGATCTTTCGGTTTATAGATTATGGACTGGAAAATGTTTTTTGATAATTGTGGTGTGGTTGATAACTCTAGCCAAAATGCTCAAATTTTCAAGGAAAACAGGTACAGTTTTTGCTGAAATTTTTGGTTTCATTTGTATAAGGGACCGTTCATGGGGGGTCATCTGAAAAAATCGCTATTTTGCTCGCGCCCACTCGAAAAAAATGGGTATGAAGGGGTGGGCCACTCCAAAGTTTCAGGAGGGTACACTAAATTGCACCTACAATCCTAGACAAATAACACGCGGACGCTGATTAAAAGTGGCTGAAGTTTAAGGCAATCAAATATTTATACGCATATCCAGCCGTATTCCCCGCTCCCCCGTTACAATGTTGCTGGTACAAATACCGCAATACTTGCCATGATGACTGAAGTGTTCATCAACATTGTTTCAGGGGAGGGGGGACCAACTTTACGAAGTATATATGAAAATGTTGCAAAAAAAATTTATTTGCCATGTTTGTCCGAGTAAATTTGTCTATGATTGTCTGAAAATGTATTACAACAAATCTTCATTAATTATCTTTTCTCCTGCACTAGAAAACAGTCGAAAAATTCTGTAATTGCTACATTATGACTGTATTAGAGTAATAAAGCAAAAACTATTCGACAATGAGGTAGAAATTAAGGGCGCATTCGCTTCCGGTTTGTGATATGCTCACTAAATATGTGTCAAAATCAATCTCGGGACAGTCTCGTTGCATCCTAATACACTCTCACGCAGAGAAAATATATATAGTATAGTTCGAAAATGGCATCAGCGTCTAACGAGGCAGAAGATGAACTGAATTCACGACAAAACGAAACAATTAGCTCAGACGGCGAGAAAAGGCCGGAAGACAGTGGCGTAGCCCCATCAGCTACTAGAAGTGTTTACCTTGTAACATACAGCCAGGCGAGTTTAGAAAGTTCCCTCTTCGAAATGATTTCGCAAAGGCGATCATTGACTCGTTCACTCGAGGTTCAGCCCAAGTACTTCACTGGTGTTGTAGTCTTGAAAGCCATAATGACAGTGGGAAACATTACCACATGGCGCTGAAGCTCAACAAAATACAGAGATGGCTTCCCTCCAAAAGATACCTTTTAGAACAGTTTGGTGTCAGCGTTCATTATTCCAACATTCACCATGATTATTATAGTGCATGGCGCTATGTTACGAAGAGTGATGAAGCATACGAAGAGAGTAATGGGCACCCAGATCTAGTAAATACTGATGTTCCGAAGACCAGTAAGGCGAGCATAGGAAAGAGAAACCTTAAAGGCAAAGCGGTCATCAAAACTCAAACTAAAACGAAGAAGAAACCAAAGCGAGTAGGAAAAGCAAGAAAGAAGCGTCTAACGCCATTAGATGTGTCAAATTTAATTTTGAGCAAGAACATCAAGACAGAAACGGAACTTCACACACTTGCACAAGAACAGCGGGAACAGGGAAAGATAGATCTTGTTGAGTTTATTTTAAATAGGTCACCTAAAACGCTAGCAGACATACTTAGCACGACATGGCAGATGAAAGGGGCGCGAGAAAAGATTGCACGATCTAAGAAGAGTCGCATGGATCTCCTTCAAGAAGCTTGAAACTCAGATTGTGTTTCTGGATGCAATGGTGATTGGCTGCAGTGTGCGAAAGAGGTTTTGCAGAACAATGGCATAGATATATCTTGTTTTGCTAATTCAGTAGGAGAAAGCCTAACTAATGGTCGCAAAAAACATCATAATGTAATGATCGTTGGCCCAGCTAATTGCGGAAAGACCTTTCTCCTTAAGCCACTAAAGGTCGTGTACCATACGTTCTGCAATCCAGCAACTGGAAGTTTTGCGTGGGTCGGAATACAAGATGCCGAGTGCATATTTCTTAATGATTTTCGCTGGAGCCCCCAAGTTATACCGTGGCACGATTTGTTGTTGATGTTAGAGGGGGAAGTTGTTCACCTACCAGCTCCGAAAACCCATTTTACGCAAGATATCAAGTTCACGAAAGACACTCCTATCTTTTGTACGAGCAAGCGACCATTGATTTTCATCAAGAATGGCATAGTCGATGACCGTGAGACCGACATGATGGGTGTTAGGTGGAAGGTTTTCTGCCTTAATTATGCGATACCTTTAGAACAGCAGCGGCAAGATATCCTGCCATGCCCAAGATGTTTTGCAACATTAGTGCTTCAATTGTAAATAAAGTCAGAGACAAAAACAAACATATTCATTTGACAGTATTTTACCGTTTTGTGATTATAAAATAATTCTTATAATCATATTATGTATAGTAATAAGCATTGATATTTGTTGCATATTTTGTTTACCGTGTTGAATCGCGTAATGTTTACCGTAGCGTTTGTCTATCTCTTAACCTTTTAACGCATGATAGAAAGAAGCTTGTGAGAATTATTTTATATGTAGTTGTGTAAAAACTGTATGCGATTATAGTATTATGAAACATATTAATTCTAAACGCTTATATTTAAAATGCCCACGGTAAACATTGAAAAGCGATAGTTGCAGAATAATTAAGAGTCATTGAGTAATTATATTTATAATGGGAGTCCTCCGATGTTTACCGTGATATTTTGCTGTTTATTCCAAATATTTACTGTGTATTATCATAAGTACAATGTAGATCATTTGGCTATAAGAAAGCATGTGAAATAGAAATTTATTGGCAAGTGTGGCAGTGACAGAATTTCATGGCGTGTGTTTACCGTCCGCCGAGAAGTCCGAAAAGCAAAATATTTCGTTTACCGTGTAAGTTAGCGCGTAACCTCCATTATAACCAATACGGCCACAGATATAACAAGCAGATTATGATAAAGATTTAATTCTTCAATTTTGTGCTAAAAATTTACACATTAAGAGTATTATCAGAATATGCTCACTATGCTTATTAAGCATGTATACATTACAGGCTATATATATAGTGTGTGTAAAATATTTTGACTACTGTGTATTATCCGTATAACAGTAAATAATATGATACTAATTGTTAATATAGTTGAAAGTTACTGTTTTTAGTCAGTATTTCGATCTTTTCCCTCTTGAGGATCTAATTTCCTCAATTCGTTTTGGCATGCTCCCAATTGTTTTGTCAATGGTCGTGATTTTAAATGTGTTGAGACAACGCAGGACACACGTCTTAAATGCATCAAAGGATTCTTTAGTGATATTCTTTTCTATCGCTTCCCTGTGCAGTATTTTTTTCACCAAATGAAACACGTTCTCGATAGGATTAATATCTGGAGAACGCGGTGGAATGCGATGAAGATTGCACTCAATCTGCGTTAAAGCTAACATGGCTTTTTTGCTTGTTTGGCAAGGATCATTGTCCATAACAAACAATCTCTTTCTTCCGGTTTTAGGTCCTGCTTTTCCAAAACACAAATTAAAGTTATTTTGGACAAATTCTGCGAAAAAATCACCGTTCATTTTATCGTAGACCTTGCTGAGGATGATACCCTTGCCCCA